TATACAATTTGGGAGTTTTTCAATGTAGTAAAATTAATATGCTCTGGCTGATGTTCTCAGCATCCCTTTTAAGGATGTCCTAACAAAATAAAGCACAATGCCACATTAGCCTTCTGAAACCACAGTTTATATATCATGCCTATAGCTCAACACTGTAAGTTTCATAGGACTTAGAAATGGAAGGAATTTTAGAACTCATCTAATCTAAATCCCTCCCTTACAGATGAAGGAACAGAGGCAATAACTTGTCTAAGGTCATAAGATTTTAGTAACATAGTGCTTGGCACATAGTAGGTGCTTAATAAATGTTTATCCCTTATATTCATACAGATAGTAGGTACCTATATTTCAATTCAGTTCCTCCAACTCCAAAGACTATGCTAATGCCATTTTATAACACCTCCCCCACTTTGTTGTTGTTGTTGTTGTTGTTTCTGTTACACCATACTGCTTTCCCTACTATGCTAAATTCCTTCCTGACCCTGTCATTCAAAGTGTTCAAGTATGATTGTGAATACATTGTCGGGTTTGTCTCCTTACCCTGTTGCCCTTCCCCTCTGGCTCAGATGGTCTCCCAGTCTCCCAGACAGGCCTTGCACTGTCTCATCTCTGTAGTTTTGCCTGTGTGATCTCTCTGAGTCCTTGCTAGATAAGAAAATTCTGTCTCTCCATCTTTTCTGACCTCCTTGTGCAGCCATTATTCCTCCAACTCACTGGGTGAGCATGGTGTAGATAGCACACTGGAGATCTGCTTTCAAATTTTAGCCCTGCCATTAATCAACAGAAATACCCTGGCCAAGCCACTTAATTTTTCGCACTGTCTTGTTCCTTGTCTTTAAAATGGAGATAATAATACCTGTCCTTCCTACTTCCTCTACTTCTTATGAGGAAAGTGTTTTCTGAACCTTTAAGATACAATAGAAGTGTCAGTTACAGGCAGGGGAAGGAAGGGTGAGAGGAGAGAAAAGAACCTTTATCCTATGGGCCACTGATCCATCAAAAACTTAATCAGGTCCCTGCATAACTCTGATAATATAACTCGCTTTTATATAGCATTCACATTTATTACCTTATTTAGTCTTCACAACAGCCCTGTGTTGTTTCAGGGCATGAATATGACACCCATTTTAAGGATGAGAGTAAAGTAGCTCAGAATCAAGAGACTGTCTGGTCCAAGATCATACAGCTCTTTCATAACAAGATTCAAAGCCCAAGTATCAATTAATTAGTTTTGAGGTTGTTGTGAATGCTAGAGTGTCTACAGATCAAGAAAAATAGGAAAGGTTTGGCTCACCTATTTTTAAAATTAAGAATGAAAAACGTGAGGCTTTACTCAAAAATGTAAACAGCATATTTTTTTAAATTATCTGTTCCACATTATGACTGATTAAGGGAACAGGAGACAGCCAGGACCAGGAAAGACAGACAGAAGGAGAGAATCATCCAGGATGAAGGGGATAAGACATTGACAAGGATAACAAGATTAAAAGTGTTATTGACCTTAGACAAGTCATCTAACCCGTCTAGTCCTCATCTGTAAAAGGAGGAGATTAGACCTCGAAGGTTCCTTCCAGCTCTAAATCTATGATCTCTGTGTTTTCTATGATTGTGTATATAATGAGGTAATATATATGAAGTTTTATGTCACTATAAAGCTAACAAAAACAGTGTATATATACTATATGTATACTATATATAGTATATATACTATATAGTATATATAAGCTACAAATGTATGTGTATATGCTACAGTATATTAAAGCTACAAATATAATGTATATATACTATTTATATATGCTATATATATACTTTGTATATGATATATAGTATATATAAGCCAAAATATATGTGTATATGCTGCAGTGTATTAAAGTTACAAATACACAGTGTATATATTATATATTATATATACACTATGTGTATAGTGTATATATACATTTATGTGTATATATACTATGTTTATAGTATATGTAAGTATAATGTATATATATACTATATTGCACTCTGTATTTGTAGCTTTAATGCACTGTAGCATATGCACTTATATATATTTGGAGCTTATAAATATACTGTAGATAAAAGATAGATGATAGATAGATGGATGGATGGATGAACAGAAGGGAGCGTAGTGGTTATCTAACCCAGCCCCCTCATTGTACTGATGAGGAGACTTTAGATTATAGAATCTAACGAACTTGTCCAGATCACACAGGTAGTAAGTAGAAGAAGAAAATTAGACTTCAAGGATTCATAATTTCCATGATACAGGTATTTCACTGACACACACCACAATGCCTTCCCACTTTGATAGATTATTTAATTTAGGGGCTCTTAATTCAGGGTCAGAGTCCAAAGATAGATATTAGGAAGGGTCTGTGAAGTGGAATGGAAAAAAATTACATCTTTTTTCCCCCACTAACTTCTAATTGAAATATAGTATTTCCTTCCATTATTTAAAAACATTATTCTGAGAAGAGCTCAAAGGTTTCACCAGACTGACATAAGGGTACGTGATACAAAAAAAAAAAAAAAAAGCTTAAGAACCTCTGGTTTAATGAGTTCTTTAAAAACTGAGTTTTAATGAGGTTTTAAAAAATCATCACCTGATCACCATATATCTAGTTATGAACCTTTCTGCATTTATTGTCTGCTCCATGAATGATTTCATTCTGTCACTAGACCTATACTCAAAACTTTTCCAGTTGGTAGGGCCTGCTGGAAATTATACTTCACTAACATAACCTCTTAGAACCTACAGTCACATTCATGTCACAATTGAAACATGAGATGAGGGCTTTAACATTTGACATGTAGCTGGAATTTCAGGTTTAAAATTTCCTGTCAAGTTTTGTGATTTTCATTTGAAAAGCATCATCCATATTCTCCATCTGGCTGAGCCATCAGTACTGTGCTCATTTTTGCTTCATGGTTCACCCACAATGAAAAGGGCTCTCAAAGTGACATCTTCATCTGGTAGGCTTTTATGATATTGCTACAAAACATTCTTTTAAAATGTGGTTGTAGTTTTGAAGCTAGTGACACAAAGGGGATTTAACATCAGATACCAGGGCTCCTAAGGCAGCTAGGTGGTGCAGTGGTTAAAGTGCCAAACCTGGAGTCAAGAAGACTCATCTTCCTGAGCTCAAATCTGGCCTCAGACACTTACTAGCTGTGACCTTGGGCAAGTACTTAACCCTGTTTGTCTCAGTTTCCTTATCTGTAAAATAAGCTGCGGAAGGAAATGGCAAACCACTCCAGTATCTTTGCCTGGAAAACCCCTACTGGATTCACAGAGTGTCAGACATGACTGAAAACGATTGAACAACAGTAACTGAACCAGAGCCCCTAAGAGATGATTCATTTTAGAAAAGTTTCTTCTAGGCAGATGAAAATAAACCAAGGACTGACTCTGGTCCATAGTTGGAAGTTCCTAACCAGAATGGCTTCAGTTATCTCAAGACCTGGTGAAATTCTTTAAAAACAATCTTCAAAGTAATTTGTTGCAAAGTCAAGTATATACTGATAGGGCACTCTAAAAAGCTGTAAGTTGCAACTCTGAGTGTGTATATGTATACGTGTGTATGTGTATAAAATTACTGCAGCATGAAAAGAATACTTGATTTGGGACCAGAGTACACGGGTTCATGTGCTCTGTTAGCTGTATCACTCAATACCTTTGTGACCTGGGCAAGTCATCTAACCTCACTGGGCCTCAGTTTTCTTATCACTAAAATGAGAGAATTTGACTAAATTACCTCTAAGGTCTCTTCTGGCTCCAAATCTATGACCTTATGAATTGAATCCCTGTGGCTAATATTATGGGAGAAAAGAAACGACTGTGTACAGTTGTTAGTAGGCATATTTGGTTCCAAACTGAATGGAGATATTTAGAAGCATATACTGTTTCAACTACTCTAATGTAGTCTTACTGCAGGGGGATGATGCCTGGCTATAGGATTCTCTAGAGTAGTGGTTCTCAATGTTTGTGGTCCAGGAACTCTTAGGGGGTCTCTGAGACCACTTCAGTGGGTCTATGACATCAAAACTATTTTCATGATATTAAGACTTTTTCATTTATAACATAGTAAAATAAATCCATATAAACAAAAGTTCTTTGGGGCATAGGGGAGTCTTCAATAATTTTTAGTAACGTAAAGGGATCCTAAGACCAAAAACTTTAAGAACAACTGCTCTAAATTCATGAAGATGGACACGATAGTCAATAAAAGCAGGCTTATAGCTTGTGCCCCATGGGAAATGGGAAATGATTTAATAGTACTATATGTTCCTGTTGAGCTCCTTGGTTTTTCTTTGGTGCTTTTTACTCCCTGGGCAATCCTGACCATCTGAGAAATGGCCCTACCAGGAACTCCAGGAAGTATAATTGGGGCTTACTCTTCTTGGGGATCTTCATCTTTTTCTCTAAAATAATGTTGGAGATAGAAGGATGGTAAGAATTAGGATGGGCTGTGTGTGTGTGTGTGTGTGTGTGTGTGTAAAGAGGTGTGGCAAGATGGGTGTGGGAGTGCCTCCAAAACAGTGCAGCGGAAGGAGTATTGAACTAGGCATTTGCACACCTGGGTTCTAGTCCCAGCTCTGCAGTGGATTAGCTTTGTGACCTTTAACCAATCACTTCCTTTAAATGGACTTTAGTTTCTTCCTTTGTATGATGAGGTGGTCAGACTGGATGACTGAAGGTCCAACTCAGCTCAGAATTCTCTAACCATTGTTCCTCTGAATTGTGCTCTTCCACCAGGGTTGGCATGAGGGAGATGAGTCTAACACAAGAGTCCACTGTGTAGAACAACCTTGGGTTTGTTGCAAGTCCCATAGGCTAGTGAAGTAATCCTGGATAGCTCCTGTTTCTTCAAAGACAGGACCAAGAAGTCTGAAATATTTAGCAGCCCACATATGAAGGTCACACAAGAGGTTCCAGCTGCCCTTTTCATCAGCTACCCTGCACCATTTTGAAGCCTACTTTTATCTTCCTATATCCATAGGCAGGAGGAAAACATTACCACCCAGCCTGTGCCAGATGTGTTCGCTGCCAACAGATGTTCACAGAAGGAGAGGAGATGTACCTCACAGGTATGTACATCTGGAGGGCAGAAGAAGGGAGGGGACACAGAAGCTCTGTGTGTGTGTGTGTGTGTGTGTGTGTGTGTGTGTGTGTGTGTCTGAATGAATAAAAGAAAAGCATTTATTAAGTGCTCACTATGTGCCAAGACCTGTACTAAGCTCTGAGGATACAAATACAATAGCAGAAAAGTCCCTGCCCTCAGGGAGTTTATATTCTAATGGGGGAAGCAACATTGATAGATAGATAGATAGATAGATAGATAGATAGATAGATAGATAGATAGATAACTTACAAGAGAAAGACCCAGACAAAGAGCCAAATTCAGTAATTTTCTATTAAATAAGATATTTTTTCAATTAAGAAAAACATGTGATCCTTCTTAAATAGGTAATATGCCATGGTATTTTATACAGTGTCCTTACTGAAAAATTCTAGAAATGAGAAACCAACCATAGTCAGTTTTCAACATGGAACTATTTGTGTTGAAGGATAGATAGATAGACAGATAGATAGATAGATAGATAGATAGATATCTGGACTGGTGGTGAGAGAAGGCAATTATAGTCAGGGAAGTCAGAAAGATGTTGAGTAGAATGATATAATAGTCCACTGACACATTTTCCCCCAGAGGTAAATTAGTGTTGATTTAATAAAATTATCAGAGCAAGAAATCTAAGAAGGGAGGGAACTCTTGCAGAGCAACTGGGTGGAAAATGCTCTGGAGGAGAGGTGGCTGCATGGCCTAAGATAGTTCCAAGTGGCTTAGCTCCTCCAAGCATGGTGTCTAGAGGATGGAGCAGCAGTGGGTGGCAGTGAGGGAAATAGCCGGCTGATAGGGAGAATCTATCTCCCAGATTCGCTATTTGTCACTGTCCTTGTCTTTGCCTCCAAAATGCAATCATTTCTCAACTGGTTATTGTGACGGCCACCACTTCCTCCTGTGGACCTACATGGGAGGAACCTCTCTTGGTTCCAATCACATTCTGCCTTGTATGAGTTATTTGTGTCTATCTCTCCTCCTCCCTACTACACTGTGAGCTCTCTGAGGGCAGGGACTGGATCTTACTCCTCTTTGTATCTCATTTAGTGCCTAGTAAATATCTGAGGAGGATCACAATCATTATCTCCAAATGTCTGAAAGGCCATCGTGGAAAAAGAAGAATTAGATTTCTTTCTGCTGAAGTTAACAAGCAGGTAGACAATAAGAGCTTAACATACAGGAGCAAACTGAGGTTCAAAGGGCTCATTGAGTCTTAGTGAGATAAGACCTGTGACTGTAATCTGGCATTGGAAAGGTATACCTTATTAAAAACAAAGAACATAGATAAAATGGAGGTAGGGGAGTATCATATATATGGCTGTATTTGAAAGAAAAGGTACAGATATATACTAGTAGAAGGAGTTCCCTTACCTTGAAGTTTCCTGTACCATAGAAAATCCAGTCCTTTTCCCTACCACAATACTTATATGTGTCAATGTCATATCCCCTAAGAGAAGGTAAGCTACTTGAGGTCAGGGACTGTTTAATTGTTATCTCTTTCTCAGTGCCTAGTGCTTAGTAGATCCTGCAAACGTGCCTGTTAATTGCTTGATGGACAACGATAACTTTCTCCAAATATTTAAAGGGCTGTCACACAGATGATGAAAGATTAGACTTTTTTCCATTTTGCCCTAAAAGGCAGAACTAGAAGCAATAAGCAAATGTTACAAAGAGGTAGATTTAGCTTAATAGAAGAAAAATTTCATACCATTGGTTTGTGTGTATGTGGGAGTTAGGGAGGGGGCAGGACAGGGTAGTGAAGGAAGGAATCCAATCTGGGATTTCATTTGTGTAAAGAATTCCTGGTCTGGAAACTCTCTCTACCAATACACATTGGCAACTCAGCTCTAATTCGTGGTCTTAGAGAGTTAACTCAGGCACCCATAGGTTAGAGGGCCATAGAACCACATAGGAGTCAGAGGCAGGATTTGCACTTAGTTCTTCCTGATGCCAAGGCTGGCTTTCTGTTTACTGCACCACACTGTCTTTCTTCTAACAATGAAGCTATCCCAAAGTAGGATAGTCTGCCTTAGGAAGAGGTATCCAGAGAAAGGCTGGATGAACACTTTGTCAGGTGTGGCACAGAGAGGCCTCCTGTTTAGGGGTTGGACTAGCCAACTGTTGAGGTTTGTTCAGACTCTGACATTGCATCATTCTGTGACAGACAGATTGGAGGTCAACATAAGAATTTTAATGATTAGAGTCTCAGAAGCTTCTAATCACTGGAATCACTCAAGGTCTTGCTCCAAGATGTTGGACAAATCACTCTAACAAAACAAAGACCAAGAGATAGGAGTGTGCTAGAGCCAGCTCAAACTAGGTTGATGGAGCTGATTATTAAATTTTCAGTGTGAAGCTTGTAAGTGTTATGAGCACTTTTTTCCTGGGGAGTTGGTTGTTAAATATTTACCAGCATACCACTAGCCAGAGAGGTCTCTATAAAATGAGGGGGTTGAATTAGATAGTCTGTAAGATCTGTTTTAGCTCTGATGTTCTGATTTAAGTTCCAGTGCTGACAGGCAAGTCACTTCATTTTCCTCAACTTTGGTTTGTTTTTTCTTTTCTCTTCTTCTTCTTTTTCTTCTTCTTTTTTTTTTTTTTTTTGAGGCAATTGGGATTAAGTAACTTGCCCAGGGTCACATAGCTAGTAAGTTCCTGAGGCTGGATTTGAACTCAGGTCCTCCCAACTCCAGGGCTGGTGCTCTATCCAATGTGTCACCTAGCTGCCTTTTTTTTTTTAAATTGTACTACATGGGGGCAGCTAGGTGGTGCAGTGGATAGAGCACCAGCCCTGAAGTCAGGAGGACCTGAGTTCAAATCCAGCCTCAGACCAAACACTTCACACTTACTAGCTGTGTGACCCTGGGCAAGTCACTTAACCCCAATTGCCTAAAAAAATAAAATAAATTGTACTACATGGGAGATGAGACTGAATAATCTAGGAATCAGAACCTCTCAGCCTCAGAAAAGACATCAAAGGTCATCTAGAACAAAGACCTGGAACACTCTGTACTGCAACCCAAACCAGATTAAAATGTAATTGAGAAATATTTAATAAAATAAGTAAAAATACAATAGAACTTAGATAATGTTAATTTGTGGTTTTCTAAGTCAATACACCAATGTTCTAGACTGTCTTATACCTGAAAAAGAATCCCTACTACAATGGGCCTGACAAGTACTCATTCAAGCATCTTCTTGAAAATATGAACCTCCTAGCTGTATGACCCTGGGCAAGTCACTTAACCCCAATTGCCTCACCAAAAAGGAAAAAAAAACTTCACTACCTACTGACATAACTTATTATACTCTTGAAGAGTTCTAATTGCTTTGTTTACATGGAACAAAAATCTATCTCACTGCTACTTCCATCCCTTCCACTATAAAGCCAATTCAAAAGAAAAAAAAAGTTTCATATATTACAGTATCAAAAAGTAAAATGAACACACCAAATGCATAAGCTGGTGCTCTAATAAAGTACATGACCTATATGTTAGGTTCCTTCAGTGTAATCATAATAAACGCATTTACATAGCACTTTACAAATATTGTCCCATTTGATTCTCATAGCACCCTTGTGAGGTAGGTGATATTAGGATCTCCATTTTACAGATGAAGAAACCAAGGCACAGAGAGGTTAAATGACTTGCCCAGGGTCACACAGCTAGTCACTGTCTAAGGCTAGATTCTAACTTAGATCTCCCTGACTATAGGTCCAGCCCTACATAAATCAGGTCTTCTCATTTCTTAGCTGAGGGTTTATACAAGGGATGGGAAACCTTTGACCTCAAGGCCAGATGTGGCCCTCTAGGTCCTTGGGTGTGGCCTTTTGACTAAGTCCAAGTTTTACAGGAACAAATCCTTTTATGAAGGGGATTTATTCTGTGAAATTTGGATTCAGTCAAAGGGCCCCACTTGAGGACCTAGAGGGCCACATGTGGCCTAGAGGTCACAGATTCCCCACACCCGGCTTTGTACAAATGTTATGAACTTCTAGAACAAATAGTCTCTAAGAGGAGGAGCAGTCCCTATCACTCTGTAATCAGCCCAAAGGTCTAGGTTTTTCCTGCTTTTACAAGGTTTTTATAGGAAGCCTTAGAGTAGGAGAGATGGATGCCCATGTTGGGACCACTGGCAGCAACTAACAAAGTGCTGCCTTCTTACTCTTACATTTAACTTTCATGTCTCCCTGAATGTGCTAACATCATGACTGTTTTTCCCTTGGCCCAGCTCTGCATACAGGCGGCCTTTTCTTCCAACATATATGCATCCAATTGGTTGTTAAGCTTCTTTGTCCTAGGTATCGTCTCTGGCACCAAGCAGAATGTGTTGAATCCCTCTTTCCTGAGACAGTCTTTTGAATACATGTCCCTCTAAGAGTCAAATGAATCTGTCTCAATCAATCAATAAGCATTTATTAAGAGTCTACTCTGTGCCAGCCATTGTATGAGTATCTAGGGATACAAAGATAAAGAAAAAATGGTCCCTGCTCTCAAGGACTTTATTTCCTAACAAGGGAGACAACAAGGATATATGTAAATATATACAGAATAAACTATAAATAATGCAAAGGAGTTTGGGAGGGAAGGCATTAGCCCCAGTAGGGGGGATTAAGAAAAGCTTCCTAGAGAAGGTGTGTCTTCAGCTATCTTGAAGGGAGAGAGGGATTCCAAGAGGCATATGATGAAGGCTGCTCTCCTTTGTGCTAGGTTGTTCCTACCTTATGTTAAGATATCTCAGCTGCTGATTGCTGAGTTCCTTTGACTTCTAACTTGTGTCCAAGTAATAATAATAATAATAACCCATATTTGTATTGTTTTAAGGTTCATAAAGCCCTTTATAAATGTGTATGTGTGATAGACAGACAGACAGACAGAGGAATGGATAGATAATCAGATAAATAGATAGATATGAAATATAACCTCATTTGATTCTCACAATAACCCTGAAAGATAGGTGTTATTATTA